CTGTTCAACTTTTCCACATCAATCTGGGTTAGTTTAGGTAAGCGGTGTGTTTCTAGAAATCTGTCCATTTCTTCCAGATTTTCAAATTTGTGGGAGTATAGTTCAATATTAGCCTTTTTATTTCAGTTTGTTCTGTTGTGATGTCACTCATTTAGTTTCTTATCCATGTTTTTTGTATTCTTTCCCTCTTTTCCTTTGTTAAATTTGTCAGTGGTTTGTCAATTTTACTGATCTTTTCAAAAAACCAACTTCTGGTCTTATTGATTTTTTTCTATTGCACTTCTATTTTCTGCTTCATTGATTTCTGCTCAAATCTTAATTACTTCCATCCTTCTGCTGACTGTAGGCTTTTCTTGCTGTTCTTTTTCTATTGTTGGAGATGTTGGTTTAAAGTGTTGATTTTGGTTTTCTTCTTTTTGGAATTGGCCTCTGATCACTGCTTTTGCTGTGTCCCAAAGATTTTGGTATGTTGTATTTTCATTCTCATTTGATTCAAGGAATTTTTGAATTTCAATTTTTATTTATTCTCTTACCCAGTCTTTCTTAAGGAGGGTGTTGTTTGGTTTCCATGTGTTTACTCTTGTTGATCTTCCTACTGTTGATTTCTAATTTGATAGTATTATGATCTGAGAAGCTGCTTTGCAGTATTCCAATGTTTTTAAATTTATGAAGGCTTGCTTTATGGCCTAATATATGGTATATCATGGAAAATGTCCCATGTGCACTGGAAAATAATGTATTTTGTACTGTTGTTGGGTGAAGTGCTCTGTGGATATCTATAAGGTCAAGTTGGTGGATTGTATTTGCGGTGTAGTAAATTACCTGGTATGGCTTTTCTAGCCATAAGTCTTTGTAAACTCATGGTGGAATTTGCTGTGAACAACTGAGGAGCTCTTGATTGCTAAAGTTATCCACCTGGGTTATTTCTGGTGTGAGTGGCACAAAGCAATGTTCTGGGAAGTTCACTCTCTCTCAGGTGCTTAGAATTCTAATGTTAACATTGGTTAGTTCAGCCACTCTGCCAGGCATAAGGAACCCTCCTAGAGGCAAAAAGAATCTCTCTGAATCCTGCCTGAGAAAGACATGCTGCTGAGAGAAACATGCTCCTGAGAGACATATGCTGCTGAGAAAGAGACACGCATTGCTGGGATAGAGACTGTCAGCTGAGAGACGACAGGCTGAGAGAGACTGAGCATTTTCCCTGACCTTGAATTGTAACCTGGTACTTCCCTAATAATCCCCATAATCTGTGAATTCTGTGTAGTCCCTGCAGTGAATTATTGAACTCATCAGAGAGGCAGTAGGTGCTTCAGGAGGAACAGTTGGTGTCAGGATTGGTAAAAGGGCTGGAGAGGTGGTATGTCTGGCCTCGCAGGGATAGGCCTTGGGCTACTGATGGTGATTCTGTCTTCCTCTTGTGGAGTTAGAGGAGGTCAGAAGTTGAGACCTCATTGCCTCTTTAGCAGTATCATTTAGCTCTTCTGCATCTTTGTTGCATTTCTTTCCTGTTGTTCTATCTGTCATTGAAAGTGGTGTATTAAAGTCTCCCACTATGACTGTGGAGTCATCTATTTGACTTTTCAATTCTTTTAAAGTCTGATTTATGTATTTTGGGGCTCTTTCATTGGGTCCATAGATATTTATTATGGTTATATCTTCATGTTCAATTGATCCTTTAATCATTATATAATGTCCTTCCTTGTCTTGTATGGTAGTTTTTGTCTTAAAGTAAATTTCACCAGAAATCAATATTGTCACTCCTGCTCTTTTATGGTTGCCATTTGCTTGATATATCTTTTTCAAACCTTTGATTTTTCTACTTGTCTTTGTCTCTAAGGTGTGTCTCTTGTAGACAGCATGTTGATGGGTTTTGATTTTAGGTTAATTTTTAGGTCCTACCACCACTCAGCAATATCCAAGCTGTCTGTGCTGTCAGGATCACTGCCCAACTGCAGCTCCATTTGTCTCCTTTTTTCTCTTTTTCTGATGTTTTCATGCAAATTCTTCTGCTAGTTGGAGTTTAGTCACTTCTTTATCCTGCCCTTCAAGGCACAGGGGTCCAGGCTTATCCTCTGTGGTAATTTGTTCCCCTTTTCTTCATTGAAGAGGGTCTGTGCCATCTTTCTGCCTATTCCTCCATCTTACCGGAACTCCCATTTTCTTGAACAATTGAGGCAACTTAAAGAAAATGACTGCCATTAATCAGTACATGGATTGCAAATACATGTGACATGTGCTCTATTCCTTCAATCCCAAACTCATGGCAGGCATTGCTAATCTATTATGGAATTCTTTCTTGTTGAGTATAGAGGTGGTTGGTATCAGAATCTTTCTCAACTTGGAGCTACAGGCAGTCACCACTAATCAAAGTTGACACAAAAGGTGAAATCTGCCAATCATTCCTGAGTCAGTATATTATGAGATTGTTTGCTGATCACTTGATGAGTATTAAGAAGATATTCTTGATACTTATAAGCAGAAGTAATATTTATATGCTATGGTTCAGGCACCAACAAATCAGAACGTGCACCAGCCACATCACTTAATCAGGTTCCAAAGACCCATGCCATACCACACATTAATGCTATAAATGTGAATGGTGGGGATAGCCAGGAGATCCTGGGGCAGATATGGCAATATTATAAGTTTTCATTCCATTTACACAGAGTGTCACTGAGTTAGGAAAAGGCCGTAGAATATCTCATTTAAGTTAATAAAAAGCACACTAGATTTAAATTTCTAGACTAGTGGCTATGTGTCAAAAATCACCTGTAAAAGTTCTTAAAATGCAAATGTCTAGATCCATGTTAGATCTACACAATTCAAATCCCTGGCAATATAGCACAGATATTGATTGTTGGGAAAATACTACTTTAGTCTTATATAAAAATAGTCTTATATAAAAATAATTTACATACCTAATCAGATGGCAAATATTATAGTCATAATAAATCTCCCTTCATTCAAAAAATAAAAATTACAGCATAAAAGAACAGCACATAGGAGTTCCACTTCCAATTATGATAGTAACATTGAACTTGCCTTCCCATCATAATATCTAGGAAACATATATACAACTGTTTTCAGAAATTGTACTACAGGTAGTGCAGGACAGTAATCCTTAAGAAAAAAGAAACAATGAACTTTACAATCACTACAGTCCAAGCTTTCTTCTGGGAAGCAGTTTCCAGATTTTAGTTCTAAAAGGGAAAAGATACACTGAATAAGAGGGTTTCACTGAGTTTAGGGGAAAGAAACTGGAGTTTGGAGAGGCAAAGTGGCTGGAATTTGCTGGGTAGGGTAACAAAGAGAAAAGAGCTATAAAAAGAAAGTGGTCTAGAAATCTGAATAGGAGTCTTTTTGATTATTTGGCTTGACATATGCCAAGCATGTGTAAGGCAGAATTCCAAGAGCATGAGTAAAGAACAACTATGAGGGATCTATAAGTTAAGCGATTCCTAGGGCTCATACAGGTACATGCAATACTCAAACTCCAACCAGACAGAGCACAGGGAACTTGTTGAATATCTGGGGCCTTCAGT